TAAATTTTCACAAAATTTTTCACAGTATCTCGCGCGAAAATCTGTCGTGACAAAATTTCAAGTTGACTTAAGTCTCTTTGTTTCAGCAATATATAACGACTACAAATCAAACATACCGTTCTGGCAAATTTTCCCTGAGGAAACACATTTTGACTCACTAGAAGAACAGAAAACCCATCGTGTCTGCCTCGAATAAAAATATTGCCAATAATTTGACTTTGAATAGCTTCAAGAAACAAATCATCAATTATATATAATATTGATTCTTTACTGTAAGGATCCTGAAAGTCTGCAGGATTGATCAAACCATTGATAGAAGTAATAGTGTCGTGTAAAGTGGCTATTTGCAATAAATGGTGAGAAAAGTCATCCACATTTGAAACTATAATTTTGGAAAATTTATGTCGGTATTTTAAACACAATTTAGTAACTAAAACCTTCCCACTATTAGTGAATGTAGCAATCAATATCCACGCAGGCTGTTTAAAGATGTCTATGTCATTTCCAGAAACGACCATACACTTCTCCTTAATCTTAATTACTATGATTTTATTAGTGTATTATATATATATATATATATATATATATATATATATATATATATATATATATATATATATATATATATATATATATGTCGTACCTAATAGCCAGAACACACTTCTCAGCCTACTACGCAAGGCCCGATTTGCCTAATAAGCCAAGTTTTCCTGAATTAATATATTTTCTCTAATTTTTTTCTTATGAAATGATAAAGCTACCCATTTCATTATGTATGAGGTCAATTTTTTTTTATTGGAGTTAAAATTAACGTAGATATATGACCGAACCTAACCAACCCTACCTAACCTAACCTAACCTATCTTTATTGGTTAGGTTAGGTTAGGTAGCCTAAAAAGTTAGGTTAGGTTAGGTTAGGTAGGTTAGGTTGCCGAAAAAGAATTAATTCATGAAAACTTGGCTTATTAGGCAAATCGGGCCTTGCATAGTAGGCTGAGACGTGCGTTCTGGCTACTAGGTACGACATATATATATATATATATATATATATATATATATATATATATATATATATATATATATATATATATATATATATATATATATATATATATATATATATATATATATTAGTATATTTTGGTAGCAGTCTTTCCTGTAGACATATATTATTAAATATGACCGAAAAAGTAAGATTAATAATTCTAACACGAATTTTCTCAATCTTTCGTACATTACGCTTCACTGTTGGAGGTAAATAAATTTACCTCCAACAGTGAAGCGTAATGTACGAAAGATTGAGAAAATTCGTGTTAGAATTATTAATCTTACTTTTTCGGTCATATTTAATAATATATATATATATATATATATATATATATATATATATATATATATATATATATATATATATATATATATATATATATATATATATATATATCATTGAATATGACCGCATATTCTGTATTTACTATCTTCTGATTTAGGGCTTCTACCCCTCTAACTATTTTTCTAGCATCAGGGCTTAGCTGAAAGAGGAGTTCTCCAAAACTCATTTTCGTTATTTCCAAATAGGAGAAGAAAAAAGTTAATTACAATAGAATGTATTACACTTATTTATACAATTTGCACAACGTTTTGAACCTCCATGGTTCATTCTCAAGTGAAAAGAAATTACAGAACTCATTAATTTTACCAGAACGGGGTCAGGTGATAAACAGGTACAATAAAGGAAAAGACAAGGGGGATACATACGAGATAAATTGGGGATAAATGGGGAGACGAAGCACATACAAAGATTAATGAGGTGTAATAAGCCTATTACACCTGATTAATCTTTGTATGTGCTTCGCATGTTCGCACCTAAAAACATTCATCCAATGAGAGGCGGGACCCAAGAACTGAGCTCTACCCCACGTAAACACAATTAGCGTTACACTCCTCAAACACTGATAAAATATTTAATCCCTGATAATCGCATTTAATGAATGGACAAAGCTTGTTCCTTTGATAACATATCTTATAACAACCACTATTACATCAAGACCATGTGCGATAACAGGTGTCTCGCCCTTTCAATCAGGCAACTACTCATGTTGATATATATTAAATCATATGTGTGTAAATCACGAAAAATAAACACATGATTAAAAATGTGACAGTGTCAGACCACGGAGGAAGAATTGAAACAGGAATTTCCTTATAACAAGAATTGAAACAGGAATTTATATATATATATATATATATATATATATATATATATATATATATATATATATATATATATATATATATATATATATATATATATATATATATATATATATATATATATATATATATATATATATATATATATATATATATATATATATATGCAAACAAGCCTGAATGGTCCCCAGGACTATATGCGAATGAAAACTCACACCCCAGAAGTGACTCGAACCCATACTCCCAGGAGCAACGCAACTGGTAACTACAGGGCGCCTTAATCCACTTGACCATCACGGCCGTCAAAAGGAAGTGATAGCCGAGGCTATTTGAGCCACTTCCCCGACGGCAACTCGGATGATAATCTTGGGCATAGCATTTCACCAAATCACCTCATTCTTTGGGGCACACGTGAGGAACACAAATGCGAACAAGCCTGAATGGTCCCCAGGACTATATGCGAATGAAAACTCACACCCCAGAAGTGACTCAAACCCATACTCCCAGGAGCAACGCAACTGGTAATTACAGGGCGCCTTAATCCACTTGACCATCACGGCCGTCAAAAGGAAGTGATAGCCGAGGCTATTTGAGCCACGTCCCCGACGACAACTCGGATGGTAATCTTGGGCATAGCATTTCACCAAATCACCTCATTCTTTGGGGCACACGTGAGGAACACAAATGCGAACAAGCCTGAATGGTCCCCAGGACTATATGCGAATGAAAACTCACACCCCAGAAGTGACTCGAACCCATACTCCCAGGAGCAACGCAACTGGTAACTACCCACCAAACACACACCGAAACTACGACGTTGCTACAACGTTCGAACTAGTTTTAACACCTCCTAACCAGTTAAAACAACCAATATAGCAAGTTGTAACAACGTTCTAATACGTCAAAAACACGTTAAGCCAAGATGTAAGAACTTTATTACAAGTTGTAACTAGCAGAAAATAAAGACAGTTACGGTGTGTGTTTCCAGGGTACAGGGCGCCTTAATCCACTTGACCATCACGACCGGACAAAATGAGGTGATAGCCGAGGCTATTTGAACCACCCATTCAGGCTTGTTCGCATTTGTGTTCCTCACGTGTGCCCCAAAGAATGAGGTGATTTGGTAAAATGCTATGCCCAAGATTACTATCCGAGTGCCGGCGGTGGGGTGGTTCAAATAGCCTCGGCTATCACCTCATTATGTCCGGTCGTGATGGTCAAGTGGATTAAGGCGTCTTGTACATACCAGTTGCGTTGCTTCTGGGAGTATGGGTTCGAGTCACTTCTGGGGTGTGAGTTTTCAGTTGCATATTGTCCTGGGGACCATTCAGGCTTGTTCGCATATATATATATATATACATATATATATATGACAATGTCAGACCACGGAGGAAAAATGAAACAGGAAATTTCCTTAAGTACTTTCGTATATTAAATACATCTTCAGAAGGACCTTCTGAAGATGTATTTAATATACGAAAGTACTTAAGGAAATTTCCTGTTTCATTTTTCCTCCGTGGTCTGACATTGTCACATTCTTAATCACGTGTTTATTTTCGTGATATACACACATATATATATATATATATATATATATATATATATATATATATATATATATATATATATATATATATATATATATATATCCCTCATTTGCACAATTTTATCCATGTATATACTTCGATCATATCAAATTGTACTCTTTGAAACGTAAATTTAGGTTTTAGATTTTATCTCTGTTGTGTCTTTACGGGTTCCTCGCTCTCTCTCCTCCCCTCTTACCCTCCCCCTTTCTTCCTTTCTCTTCCCTCCCTCCCTCTTCCCTGAAAAATTCTGAATCTCGAAGTCCCTGAAAATGTAATACTGAATTTACGTTGACCAGACCACACACTAGAAGTTGAAGGGACGACGACGTTTCGGTCCGTCCTGGACCATTCTCAAGTCGATTGAGACCATTCTCAAGTTCTCAAGTCCATTCTCAAGTCGATCAAGCTCTTCTTTGTAGTACTCCTGAATTTACGTTCATTGTTTTCGATTCTCTGCTACACCTGGATGTCTCTCCTCCACCTCTCTCTCTCTTGTACTCCCCAGCCTCTGTTCCAGTTACGCCTCTAGCCCCATCCCCCTCTCTCTCTCATCTCTCTTTCTCTATTTTCCATTTCTTCCCTTCTCCCACCAATTACCTTCTTCTCTATGTATATATGAAGCACTCCTGAAAATACCTTTACAAGCCAATTGCTCTGAGTTTGTCATGTAGTACTCAACACATCCACCTGTTCAGATGGTGCTTCTTGTAACTATGTAGACCATAGTACATGCTTACACATAATACATAATTAGATAGTAGAATTTGGCACTATTCACTTTATAGAGTCAAAAAAAAATAAAAAATAAAACCAAACTTAAATATTCCTAGGCCTAGTACAGCACACATATATACTATATTAGGCCTCAGATAGCATGTAGTAGGCCTAGAAAGTTTAGGTTAGGTTATATAAGCTGTCTTTGCAATATCTGCACAAAGACTTCTCTGGATGGTCCAAATTCAGTAGTACCGATTTCTACTTTCTTTTATGTCAATATTTGTATGATAGTCTTTATCGTTACTATAAGTATTACCTGAACAGGAGGATGGCCTGTAGATTATGTGCTCACTAAATTATAGTTACAATTTCCCCACTCATCAGTATAAATGAGCTACATCTGTGGAGCACTGAAATTATGCAACTTTAATTATACTGGTGTATTGTTATTATGTACGGAAAGCTACTGAGAACACTTACTTATATACTGATGTGTATAATTGAGCTTGGAGCCTTCTCCAGGGATACAGGCGCAAGTCATCAGGTAGCCGTAGTGGATGTATATATTACGAACCGAAGCACAGTCGTGTTCTGTATGACAAAATAATAATAATCATGTTTACATTGCTTATTTTATTTAAATTTGGCTCATTTTATATATTTTCAACCCATCCATCATAATAATTTCTGAGCAAACTGGCTTTATCACGAAGGCTATGCACCACTGACTTCTGGTAAAGAGCGATTTTATTCTTTGCCAGAGGGCTGCACTCTCACAAAAATTTGTGAGAGTGCATACCTGCTGAATAATTGAGAACGTCGCACGTAACTCCATCCTTCTCCGGAGCATTAGAGCTGCCACTTTTAATAACATCAAATAGTTCTTTGTAAGTTATCTCTGTGCATGTTACTGAACCTATATTTAAAGCACATACAGACATGCACTGTCCGATCCTCTTTCGTCATTCTCGCCCTTCAATCTGTCGCCTTCCTTGATGATCTCTTCTTTCACCTCCACACTAATCTGCAACGTCATTCTTTTCAACCTCCATCGAACATTTTCCTCCTTCTCCACGCTTGGAGGAGGAAAACACCACGTTTTCTTTCCACCTTTTCTTTTCTCTGGCTCCAGTCTACTTCGTAACTCCAATTCTTCCCCATTCAGCTCCTCTGTGTTCTGACAAAGCTGCCTCCACTACCAACTGTACATGTTGCTCCGCCTCTACTGGGATGCTACCAAGTATTTCTCTGTTCGAACCGTCTCCTCCCACTTATTATTCCTGGCCATAGCTCTCCTTCACTGCCTCTCTGACCAACCTCCCTGGAAGTGTAATACTCCTAAAATGTCACAACTCTCAATTTCACCTTATCCACACCTTGCCTCTTATCAACAACTCACCTCTCCACTCTTATCTTCAGTTTGATCACATTCTTCTTGACAACTGTTCAATGTCTTCCTCGATTCCAATTCTGTCCTTGACACATTTTTAGAGGTTTCATCTCTATCTGCTCTTCCAAATTACACTCACTCTCCATGTAATCACTTGCTGGGAACTCAGATTAAGGGCTCCTCCCTTTATCATGTTGAATCATCTCATCTAGTTCGATCTGCTCCACCATCAGGTTCACTCCATGCACCTGTGCGGGCAGAGACGGTCTTACCTCACACCTCTCTATAGTTCCACCACCTCGAATCAGGTTATCCTCGGGCAACTCATGTGCTTTCAAGTCTGATTCAGCTTCTAGTGGGGACGGCACTCTTAATCTTAATCCAATTTAATCCGTTCCATATCTATGTCTGTCTCTGTAGATGTGCTGGCTGGAGGTTTCACCATTTGTCGGAAATGTTTCCTGTAAGCTTGGAGGGTCAAAAGAAAGATCTCAGCACACTACTCTTCACTGTCCAATAGTGCTGGAACTCTTCAATTGACAACTGAGTGTACGCTTCTATTGCTGTCCCTGTCAATCTTAACTGGACTAACTGTGCCCATTCTTCTTGAGGCCACTGCTTGAGACACGCCACTTTCTTGAAATGTTCGAAACAGGACTCTAATATTTCTGGAACGAATAGTGGAATAGTTTCATCCCGTGCACTATTTTCCTGTGGATGCTATCAGTGAGCAGCAGCCTCTGGTTCAGCAATAGAACTATTTGCTTCAGTGTCCATTGTGACGGTGTTCCACCCCTATATTTCTTCCTTCCCAGCTTAGAAGAGTCATATCTCCATAGTCTAAGTGTTTTCTGATGTTCAGGGAACATTTTTATGTGTGGGAAAAAGTGGAGCGTGATTAAGCTGGCTGTAAAGTGGCCAGCTAAGTTTGATAATGCAAGGGGCTTACGCCTTTTGAAGCACAGGACGGTGACGAGCCATCCTGTTTCCCGCCAAGACGTCCTGACGCTTCCCAGCACCTGATTGGCCAGGTGAGGTCAAGTGCTGGAAGTGACCAATGACGAGAGCCCTCGGGCGGTGTGACGTCATGAGGCGGGGAGGGCCCTGGGCAGCTGGCTCCTGGCCGGGAAGACAGTACGTCACGAGCCGTCAGAGAGGGAAGACGCGCTCGAGCGAGCTCCGGACCTAGAGAGCCCTTACCAGTAGATTTAAGCTCCGCTTCGATTCTCCAGACAGTCTGAGAAGCCATCCAACTTCCGTGGAGTGCCCGGAGGCAAGGACGGACCTGATTGAAGAGTCTGCAGCAGAGGGAACGTTGGGCTGGTGAAGTCTGGGACGCCCACTAGAGGACCACGTCTTACACATCAAGCGAGAAGCTAGGGCCGGACCCAAATCTACTGGCAGTTAAGGCGAGGGGAAGCTGTGCTGGACTGCGAGGTGTCGACAGTGCCAGTGAGAGTGAGGACGACGACGGAGGAACCTGTCTCCAGTACCCCAGAGAATAGGAGGAGGAAGGCAGTACCTATTGAATGTGAGCACGGCGAGGACGCGTTATCACGAGGACGACGGAGGAACCTGTGTGTGTGGTGGGAGCTAGTCGTCGACAGAGCAGACGCCAGGACCAGGCTCCTCAACATCCTTCAACAGAGGACGAGTCAGCTTTGTGGTTGGAGTGAAATAAGGTAGATAATTGTCCCTCCCTTACCCCTTTTGAGCTAGGTGAGTTAGAGTATTTTATGTGGTGAACATTTCTTCTCATTGCATTGTCTAAGTGACAGGACGTTAGGCTAGGAGCCAAAATCTCATTTAGGCATGAGTTGGTGTGTGTGAGCATTAACGTGGTGATGTTAGTGATCCTGGAAGGGTAGATGGTGTGCAAGGAGCCACCAACGTACTCTGAAACGTTCAGCTAATCACATCACAAATCAGCTGATCCAGCTTCAGCTGATTTCCCATACTAGAGGCATGGGAAATCACGACGTTCTGGCAGCTGGAGCTGTCAGCTAATCGTGCTGCCAGAGGCGCGAGGTGCGTGCCCGCGCTGGAGGAGTGGACCCAGCCAGTTGACTGCGGCCAGAGACGTGTCATCGAGAAGGTTGCTGCCAGCGGATGATTCCAAACCTAGATATTTCATTATGCCATTTATATGTGTATATATATGTTTTCCTTCAGTAAACTTTTAAACTAACTGAGGAGTTTAAGTGAGCCTCCTGAGCCTGAGTTTAAGGGGCCTCGTAGCCTGGTGGATAGCGCGCAGGACTCGTAATTCTGTGGCGCGGGTTCGATTCCCGCACGAGGCAGAAACAAATATGCAAAGTTTCTTTCACCCTGAATGCCCCTGTTACCTAGCAGTAAATAGGTACCTGGGAGTTAGTCAGCTGTTACGGGCTGCTTCCTGGGGGTGGAGGGCTGGTCGAGGACCGGGCCGCGGGGACACTAAAGCCCCGAAATCATCTCAAGATAACCTCCATTCTCTAGGGCTATATATATTATATATTTATGAGACCATTAGTGACACCTTGCACTGCACGTGACATTGCATCCCTAGCCAAGATAATTAATGAGACCACTGACGTGTTGCTGGGACACGAGTATAAACACCCAGCTGGCGACCTCAGGACAGACCAGATAAAGCAAGAGAAAATGTTCCAGTGTCAGGACAGGCAGGTTTAAGTGAGTTATAAGAAGCTTGAACCTCCCCACTCTGGAAACACAAACCGAAACTGTCTCTATTTTCCGCTTGTAACAACTTGTAATAAAGTTGTTACATCTTGGCTTAATGTGTTTATGACGTATTGGAACGTTGTTACAACTTGATATATTGGTTGTTATAACTGGTTAGGTGGTGTTAAAACTTGTTCGAACGTTGTACCAACGTCGTAGTTTCGGTGTGTGTTTGGAGGGCACTCGCTAGGGGTGTATAAGGCCAGCCCTTAGTTGACTAGGGGAGCCCTAGGGCGAGCAGTGGCGCCCGGTACTGAGGCGCTAAGACCTGTGGGACGACCCCAACCACAGGTTGAAAGGGGGTGAACTCTGACACCATCTGTTTGGTCTTCCCTCTGTCTCTTTCTAATTCTAGTATATCCCTTTCCTTCTCTAACTCCTTTTCTAACTCTAGTTCCCATTGTCTGGTCTTCTCTTTTTCCTTCTATTGTTCTTATTCTAATTCTCGTAGTCTGGTCTTCTCTTTTTCCTTCTCTTCCTTTACAGTAGAAAACGAGATATTTTTCTCTAACCTGGTGGTGGAAAACTAGGATGACATAAGGAGGCGTCTGATGAGTTCTCGTCTTATACCTGAGGCTCTAGGGACTCTACGGGGGGAGTCAAATAATTTGATCAAACGCGAACTGCTGAGTGACGAGTATGTTAACCGTGAATGGCTACTCTATTCACCATCCCAAGGTCGTTGGTATGTCGCATATTATCCAAGAAAGAATCTCCCTTTGCTACATTGGAGTTCAATGACTGGAAGCACAGCAATGTTATTGAAGAATATGAAAATGGAGAAGAACACGAAAGTCATGATAGCATATCTGAAAAGGCCTGGGCCCTGACAGCTGAGTGGACAGCGCTTCGGTTTCGTAGTCCTGAAGTTCCGGGTTCGATCCCTGGTGGAGGCGGAAACAAATGGGCAGAGTTTCTTTCAGCCTGTTACCTAGCAGTAAATAGGTACCTGGGATATAGGCAGCTGCTACAGGCTGCTTCCTTGGGATGTGTAACAAAAAGGAGGCCTGGTCGAGGTTGCCGCTGGGACGTTGAGCCCCGAAATCATCTCAAGATTACCTCAAGAAGGCATAAAGAAACTGGAAGTGTAGATCTTTTTACTTGAGCAACGTCGCTCAGAGCAGGAATATTGCCATAAAGTGTTGACACGTATGATTTCTGTAATTCGCTTTCTTGCCTCTAGAGGTTTGCCATTTCGGAGAGAAAATCACATTATTTGGTCAGCAAAAAATGGCAACTGTTTAGGTATGCTAGAGCTGCAGAATGAATTTGACCCTTTTTTGGAAGAACATCTCAAAATGTATGGAAATTCATGGAAAATTAATCCGTCATATTTATCTGCAAATATTTGTGAGGAATTTATTGAATTAATGAGACAGCAGGTTCTTTGCACTATTCTTGAAGAAGTAAAAGAGTCAAAGTATTAATCAATATGTACAGATTCCACTCCAGACATCTCACACACAGATCAACTGACATTTACTGTCCGATACATTGAAGGTTGTGAGCCTGTGGAACGTTTCTTGATGTTCATCCCCATCTTTTCTCAAGGAGCAAAGGATCTAAACGAAACTCTCGTGGATTTTCCTAATGAGAGCACAATTCCACTATCAAACTGCCGTGGTCAGTCATACGATAATGACTGAAATATGTCTGGACGATATACTGGATTGCAAGCACGAATTCATCAACTCAATGATTTTGCCATCAATGTTCCCTGTGCTGGACACAGCCTGAACGTGGTAGGAGAACCACGAAAATCCACTCTCGTGGATTTTCCTAATGAGAACATAATTCCACTATCAAACTGCCGTGGTCAGTCATACGATAATGACTGAAATATGTCTGGACGATATACTGGATTGCAAGCACGAATTCATCAACTCAATGAGTTTGCCATCAATGTTCCCTGTGCTGGACACAGCCTGAACGTGGTAGGAGTAAAAGCATCAGTATTGTCTACAGACTGTCTAATTCTTTGACTTTGTTCAGTATCTGCATTACTTTTTTGCTGGTTCTACTCATCGCTGGAATGTATTGACATTATCTTTAGGAAAATATTTTGTGGTCAAGCGTCTGTCTGACAACGATGGTCAGCACATTTTGATGTTATTCATGCTCTGTATGGGGGTTTCGAGAAAATAAAACGTGCATTGGATTCTCTATCAGCTGACAATGAACAGCAAGCAAATACAAGGCAGAGGAATTGAGCAAAAAAATGGAAAACCTGGAAATAATCTATTTCACAATTCTTTGGAATTACATGTTGGAATGAACAGAACAAATAAGGTCCTTTAATCAAAAGATGTAAACATCTTTGTTGCCACGAATCTTCTTGAGTCTATGAAAACCTATCTTCAGGAAGCTAGAGACAAATTTAGTGAATATGAATTTAAAGCCAGGAGTATGTGTCCAGGTTCAGATTACAGTGATGGGAAAAAACGGGAACGAAAACGGAGTGTGCGTCTTAGTAGATATTATGGGTCAGCAGAAGAGGTACTTCTCATTATTAAAACCCGAAAAATTCAAGGTTGAAACTATTTTGGACACGCTTATCTTTGAACTGACAAAACGTGCAGAGGCTTATTCACAGATTGGAAACCTGTTTTCTTTCTTCAGTGAATTTAAAACCATTGCCTCTGATGCAGTAAAGAAAAAGTGTGAACATCTGGCTAATATGTCTCACAAAGACCTGAATTATGATGACCTTTTAAATGAATGTGAGCATCTCAAGCACTACATGGCTCTTGATGAAAATTGTGACTCTCCCTTCACTGTAAAAAAAATAATTTCGGACAATTTGAAATCTGTATTCCCGAATGTTGAAATTGCACTCAGAGTGTTCAGGTGCATAATGGTGAACGAACTGAACAGGCGAACGTTCTTTACTGAAACGAACGACTGAAATTTTAACAAAAATCTGTTTCGTAGTTCAGGGCGGCATTGTTTGAACTGGCTTTCACTCATGTGCATGGAAAATGACATCCTAAAGACCATTGACTTTAAGCCAATAATAAAGGAATTCTCTGAAAAGAAATGCCGCAAATGCTTGTTATAACTAGAAATTCGAAGTAATTTCATACTCTGTGCAGCTTACTGAGTATTATTGTGTTTTTCAAGCCTTGTGCATTCTTCAAATGTTTATCATGTTGATTAGTTATTGCTCTACAACATGTTTTTAATGTTTTAACACCAGTTTTGTTGAAGTGCCAAGAAAATATATATATGTTTAATATTATCGACCATTAATTTTTATTCTTGTGAGTGGTTGTGGTAGGGGCCCCAGCACACTGGTGAGCCCAGGGACCCATAATGCTGTTATGACAGCCTTGCTATCCCTTGATATTTATCATGTTTAACTCATTCCTGTATTTTTTCCAACAACTTCGTGCTCCTGCCTCGGCAAATGTTGTTGTCACAAACTGAGAGACAATAGGCTTGTTCCCATTGACTGATTATATGCTGCTAGTTCTAACCACTATGTTTCCTACCTTTATGCCTGGAAAACATATACTAACTCTGTTTCGTGGATCCCTGATCAAAAGATTCTATTCATATCACACAAATGTGACTCTTCTGCAGCAAGTATCCTCCAGCCTTCTCTATTGTTATGTTCAGCTTTCCTGCTTACAGGACTACCTGCTCAAGTTTTCGTGTAAAATAATAAAGTCTTCCGATGCCAAAACTACTGCCTTCTTGATTTTTTTTCTCGTCCTTCGTTGTGGTCCTACTTCCTTCACTCACTACCCTGCAACTGCCATTTCCATTTTCAAAGCAACATCCATTTCCTTGTTGAATGATGCCTAACAATCCTAAGAAGTTTCATTTGCTCCATTAGCCTTCAACTTTCTACCGGCAAGCGCAGACAGAATTCGAACATAGTTTGAGGTGATCTCAGGATATTCGTCATTATTTATTCCGAGAATAGTCTACTAGCTAGAAACACTGAGACACAACTGCCTATGAGAAGAGCACATGACAACCCATTGGGCTATCCTCGTCCAAGCTGCTGTTGATTCCAAAGATGAATAATTGCTTCTGACTTTATATAAACCAAAGTAGCGCTCTTCCAAAATAAATTTGTTAACTTATTTATTAAGTTTTATGTTGCCTGCGAGAGAGATCTTGACAGAGGTGCGACTAGATCATAGGAAGCGAGCAAAACCTTTTTTGATAAATGCCCGATTGCAATCAGCTGTGAATCATTTGCATTTTTTTTAATATTAAACAGCATCTCGTCCTCTTAAACACGGCATTGTTCATTTTGGCAGCCTCCGTGGTGTAGTGGTAAGACACTCGCCTGGCGTTCCGCGAGCGCTATGTCATGGGTTCGTATCCTGGCCGGGGAGGATTTACTGGGCGCAATTCCTTAACTGTAGCCTCTGTTTAACGCAACAGTAAAATGTGTACTTGGATGAAAAAACGATTCTTCGCGGCAGGGGATCGTATTCCAGGGACCATAGGATTAAGGACTTGCCCGAAACGCTACGCGTACTAGTGGCTGTACAAGAATGTAACAACTCTTGTATATATCCCCCCCCCAAAAAAAAAAAAAAAAAAAAAAAAATTGTGTTCGGGTCGCGAACTTTTTATAGCCATTCAACTCAACAAAGTGCCATTGGGTTCACAGCGTTGAAGTCAAATTTCGAGAACACAATCTACATACGTCATTATAACTCATAATATAGGTTGTTCTCTCTCAGGCTGCAGTATAAACACTGCCTGATCATTATACCCAAAACTCTTTAATATTGTGTTATAGCAATAATATGTCAGCTGAAGATTATTAGACATTCGTCATATATTGTTTAACTAATATTTTAAGGTTTTGATAAACCTTAAACTATATTACTTTACATACTTTAAGAATGTCAGTATTTGACTATTAACAATTGGCGACCTACAAGCAGCCGCAGATAGTAGCTATTATCACAATGTATTAAAAGATTTACTTTACTGTTTTAAGCTAAATATAGATAGGATTAAGAATATTATATTATATTATTATGAATATTATTCTCATTACCAATTTTTATTATTACTACTCTTTAATAGTGAAAAATTTGTATAAATGTTATATGAAATACCGGCTTAATTATATTTATATATATTATTATAGATATAAGTTGATGACGTTCACTAACCGACAAACAAATGCCACATCTGATAGGTTTTCTCCATCTGGTGAGGGTCTTCTTCATTAATGAGGAATATACTGTCTGGGTCGATTTCCGAGTCACCCTCATTTGGGGTCTTTATCTCCCCGCTTCCTACTGGGAGATGGTCTCCCTCAGAGCCATACCCTGAGGTTGTACTTGGCATGTACATGGAGGACTCCTTGGTAGTGTTGCGACGAAAGTAATCAAGTGGTGTCATTCCTGCAGGAAATAAATGCATTACAAAGTGGAATATATGACTCAGCCAGTTTGTATCTGAAGAAGCAGCAAAATATCAGTTAAGTTCACTACATACTGTATAATATAAGGGAGTCTCAGTCACCCGAGCTAATACAACCTATTGACCAAATATTAAAGTACCAGTACCCAGCAAACAATTTCAAGTTTCCACAACGTTCCTGGAAAGTGTTTGAAAGGATTGGAAACGTTTGTTTTCACGAATTAGATACGTTATTTTGTGTGGAATTAAATAGGTTTCCAAAAATTTTAACCAAAACCTACGAACCTAACCCTAATTTGAAACTTTGTAACCCCATATGTACCCTAATATGAAACTTTGTGACCCCTTTTGGACCCTAATATGAAACTTTGTGACCACTTTTGTACCCTAATTTGAAACTTTGTGACCCCTTTTGGACCCTAATATGAAACTTTGTGACCACTTTTGTACCCTAATATGAAACTTTGTGACCCCTTTTGGACCCTAATTTGAAACTTTGTAACCCCATATGTACCCTAATATGAAACTTTGTGACCCCTTTTGTACCCTAATATGAAACTTTGTGACCCCTTTTGGACCCTAATATGAAACTTTGTGACCACTTTTGTACCCTAATTTGAAACTTTGTGACCCCTTATGTACCTAATTTGAAACTTTGTGGCACTTTATGAAGTGTTTCGAGTTAAAATGCTCATATATGAATAAAATAGGAAATGTAAAAATATAAAAATATATTTCTACATTTGATGAAATAAAGCATCATAATAAAGGTGGGTTCATCATTTTTATTCATTTATCATTTGTATTAGCGTAGTGTATTGGCCTAGTGTAGTAGCGTGATGTAGTAGCCTGGTGTAGTAGCGTGGTGTAGTAGCGTATGTAGTAGCCTGGTGTAGTGGCGTGATGTAGTAGCCTGGTGTAGTGGCCTGGTGTAGTGGCGTGGTGTAGTGGCGTGGTGTAGTGGCGTGGTGTAGTGGCGTGGTGTAGTGGCGTGGTGTAGTGGCGTGGTGTAGTGGCGTGGTGTAGTGGCCTGGTGTAGTGGCGTGGTGTAGTAGCGTGGTGTAGTGGCGTGGTGTAGTGGCGTGGTGTAGTGGCCTGGTGTAGTAGCGTGGTGTAGTAGCGTGATGTAGTAGCCTGGTGTAGTGGCGTGGTGTAGTGGCGTGGTGTAGTAGCCTGGTGTAGTAGCGTGGTGTAGTAGCCTGGTGTAGTGGCGTGGTGTAGTGGCGTGGTGTAGTGGCGTGGTGTAGTGGCGTGGTGTAGTGGCGTGGTGTAGTAGCCTGGTGTAGTGGCGTGATGTAGTAGCCTGGTGTAGTGGCGTGGTGTAGTGGCGTGGTGTAGTAGCCTGGTGTAGTGGCGTGGTGTAGTGGCGTGGTGTAGTGGCCTGGTGTAGTGGCCTGGTGTAGTAGCGTGGTGTAGTGGCGTGATGTAGTGGCCTGGTGTAGTAGTGGCGTGGTGTAGTAGCCTGGTGTAGTGGCGTGGTGTAGTGGCGTGGTGTAGTGGCCTGGTGTAGTGGCGTGGTGTAGTAGCCTGGTGTAGTGGCGTGGTGTAGTGGCCTGGTGTAGTGGTGTGGTGTCGTGGCGTGGTGTAGTGGCCTGGTGTAGTAGCGTGGTGTAGTGGCGTGGTGTAGTAGCCTGGTGTAGTGGCGTGGTGTAGTGGCGTGGTGTAGTGGCCTGGTGTAGTAGCCTGGTGTAGTGGCGTGATGTAGTAGCCTGGTGTAGTGGCATGGTGTAGTGGCGTGGTGTAGTGGCGTGGTGTAGTGGCCTGGTGTAGTGGCGTGATGTAGTAGCCTGGTGTAGTGGCGTGGTGGAGTGGCGTGGTGTAGTAGTAGTGGCCTGGTGTAGTGGCGTGGTGTAGTGGCGTGGTGTAGTGGCCTGGTGTAGTAGCGTGGTGTAGTAGCCTGGTGTAGTGGCCTGGTGTAGTGGCGTGGTGTAGTAGCGTGGTGTAGTAGCCTGGTGTAGTGGCGTGATGTAGTAGCCTGGTGTAGTGGCGTGGTGTAGTAGCGTGGTGTAGTAGCCTGGTGTAGTGGCGTGGTGTAGTGGCGTGGTGTAGTGGCCTGGTGTAGTGGCGTGGTGTAGTGGCGTGATGTAGTAGCCTGGTGTAGTGGCGTGGTGTAGTGGCGTGGTGTAGTAGCCTGGTGTAGTGGCGTGGTGTGTGGTGTAGTGGCGTGGTGTAGTGGTGTGGTGTAGTGGCGTGATGTAGTAGCCTGGTGTAGTGGCATGGTGTAGTGGCGTGGTGTAGTGGCGTGGTGTAGTGGCCTGGTGTAGTAGCCTGGTGTAGTGGCATGGTGTAGTGGCGTGGTGTAGTAGCCTGGTGTAGTGGCGTGGTGTAGTGGCGTGGTGTTGTGGCCTGGTGTAGTAGCGTGGTGTAGTGGCGTGGTGTAGTGGCGTGGTGTAGTGGCCTGGTGTAGTAGCGTGGTGTAGTGGCGTGGTGTAGTGGCGTGGTGTAGTGGCCTGGTGTAGTGGCCTGGTGTAGTTGCGTGGTGTAGTGGCGTGGTGTAGTGGCGTGGTGTAGTGGCGTGGTGTAGTGGCCTGGTGTAGTAGCGTGGTGTAGTGGCGTGATGTAGTAGCCTGGTGTAGTGGCGTGGTGTAGTGGCGTGGTGTAGTGGCCTGGTGTAGTAGCGTGGTGTAGTGGCGTGGTGTAGTGGTGTGGTGTAGTAGCCTGGTGTAGTAGCGTGGTGTAGTAGCGTGGTGTAGTAGCCTGGTGTAGTGGCGTGGTGTAGTGGCGTGGTGTAGTGGCCTGGTGTAGTAGCGTGGTGTAGTGGCGTGGTGTAGTAGCCTGGTGTAGTGGCATAGTGTAGTGGCGTGAGTGTAGTAGCCTGGTGTAGTAGCGTGGTGTAGTAGCGTGGTGTAGTGGCCTGGTGTAGTGGTGTAGTGGCCTGGTGTAGTGGCCTGGTGTAGTGGCCTGGTGTAGTGTGTAGTGGTGTAGTGGCGTGGTGTAGTGGCCTGGTGTAGTGGCGTGGTGTAGTGGCCTGGTGTAGTGGCCTGGTGTAGTGGCCTGGTGTAGTGGCGTGGTGTAGTGGCCTGGTGTAGTGTGGTGTAGTGGCGTGGTGTAGTGGCCTGGTGTAGTGGCCTGGTGTAGTGGCGTGGTGTAGTGGCGTGGTGTAGTGGCGTGGTGTAGTGTGGTGTAGTAGGCCTGGTGTAGTGGCGTGGTGTAGTGGCCTGGTGTAGTGGCCTGGTGTAGTGGCGTGGTGTAGTGGCCTGGTGTAGTGGCGTGGTGTAGTGGCGTGGTGTAGTGGCCTGGTGTAGTGGCCTGGTGTAGTAGTGTGGTGTAGTGGCCTGGTGTAGTGGCGTGGTGTAGTGGCCTGGTGTAGTGGCCTGGTGTAGTGGCCTGGTGTAGTGGCGTGGTGTAGTGGCGTGGTGTAGTAGCCTGGTGTAGTGGCGTGGTGTAGTGGCGTGGTGTAGTGGCCTGGTGTAGTGGCGTGGTGTAGTGGCGTGGTGTAGTGGCCTGGTGTAGTGGCGTGGTGTAGTGGCGTGGTGTAGTGGCCTGGTGTAGTGGCGTGGTGTAGTGGCGTGGTGTAGTGGCCTGGTGTAGTGGCCTGGTGTAGTAGTGTGGTGTAGTGGCCTGGTGTAGTAGTGTGGTGTAGTGGCCTGGTGTAGTGGCGTGGTGTAGTGGCCTGGTGTAGTGGCCTGGTGTAGTGGCGTGGTGTAGTGGCCTGGTGTAGTGGCGTGGTGTAGTGGCGTGGTGTAGTGGCGTGGTGTAGTGGCCTGGTGTAGTGGCGTGGTGTAGTGGCGTGGTGTAGTGGCCTGGTGTAGTGGCGTGGTGTAGCGTGGTGTAGTGGCGTGGTGTAGTGTAGCCTGGTGTAGTGGCGTGGTGTAGTGGCGTGGTGTAGTGGCCTGGTGTAGTGGCGTGGTGTAGTGGCGTGGTGTAGTAGCCTGGTGTAGTGGTAGTGGCGTGGTGTAGTGGCGTGGTGTAGTGGCGTGGTGTAGTGGCCTGGTGTAGTGGCGTGGTGTAGTGGCCTGGTGTAGTGGCCTGGTGTAGTGGCCTGGTGTAGTGGCCTGGTGTAGTGGCCTGGTGTAGTGGCCTGGTGTAGTGGCGTGGTGTAGTGGCCTGGTGTAGTGGCCTGGTGTAGTGGCCTGGTGTAGTGGCGTGGTGTAGTGGCGTGGTGTAGTGGCCTGGTGTAGTGGCCTGGTGTAGTGGCGTGGTGTAGTAGCCTGGTGTAGTGGCCTGGTGTAGTGGTGGTGTAGTGGCCTGGTGTAGTGGCCTGGTGTAGTGGCCTGGTGTAGTGGCCTGGTGTAGTGTGGTGTAGTGGCCTGTGGTGTAGTGGCGTGGTGTAGTGGCCTGGTGTAGTGGCCTGGTGTAGTAGCCTGGTGTAGTGGCGTGGTGTAGTGGCGTGGTGTAGTGGTGGTAGTGGCGTGGTGTAGTGGCCTGGTGTAGTGGCCTGGTGTAGTGGCGTTGGTGTAGTGGCCTGGTGTAGTGGCGTGGTGTAGTGGCCTGGTGTAGTGGCCTGGTGTGTAGTGGCCTGGTGTAGTGGCCTGGTGTAGTGGCGTGGTGTAGTGGCCTGGTGTAGTGGCCTGGTGTAGTGGCGTGGTGTAGTGGCGTGGTGTAGTGGCCTGGTGTAGTGGCCTGGTGTAGTGGCGTGGTGTAGTGGCCTGGTGTAGTGGCGTGGTGTAGTGGCCTGGTGTAGTGGCCTGGTGTAGTGGCCTGGTGGTGTAGTGGCGTGGTGTAGTGGCGTGGTGTAGTGGCGTGGTGTAGTGGCGTGGTGTAGTGGCGTGGTGTAGTGGCCTGGTGTAGTGGCGTGGTGTAGTGGCGTGTAATTACAACGTGTAGTGGCCTGGTGTAGTGGCGTGGTGTAGATGGCCTGGTGTAGTGGCCTGGTGTAGTGGTGTGGTGTAGTGGCGTGGTGTAGTGGCCTGGTGTAGTGGCCTGGTGTAGTGGCGTGGTGTAGTGGCGTGGTGTAGTGGCTGGTGTAGTGGCCTGGTGTAGTGGCCTGGTGTAGTGGCGTGGTGTAGTGGCGTGGTGTAGTGGCGTGGTGTAGTGGCCT